GATTGTCTAAATGGGATGTGATATGAAAATATTCAAATTTTTTTTAAAGGTTTGTTTCTGTAATTCGCTAAAAATATATACTGTGACAGCATAGTTTGATTTTTTTTTAAACTATTTGTAAGATTGCCCTCCTCCCCCAAGAAATTACCTTCAGATGACCTTGGTTGTCTCCAGTTGCCACCAGGTGGCCCTCGTTGTTCCAGCAGACAGCAGACACATAATTAGATGAGGCTTCATCCTCTGGTACAATGTTGACTTTCTTGCAAACCTTTGAATCGACATCCCAGATATATGTTGTTTGTTCTAAGGCAACCACAATCTTGTTGGAACGTCCCCAGTCAAGGACATTTGTGTCTGAAGTGACAGATTTTAATAGAGTGAATAGACTAAATACTTGAAATTGTCTGGAATTCAACTACATTTGTATGAAAAGAAAGAATATAAACTGTCAAGAGACGAGATTCATTGTTCGTATGGCTTTGCAACAGATCTGAGAGATTTCCTAAATTCCTACTTACAGAAATCATTTCGAATTTTTGGCATATCTAGTATATTTTTGGGTGATGTGACCACCTTTCTTCTCATCTTTCTGGGGCAAATTTTGGGGCAACCTGTGAGTGACACAGAAGATCTCGAAGATACATGTGACTGTACTGTATAAATAATTGTCAATTCAGATCCTACTACACCACTGGCAGCATGCAAAAATCAAATAAAAAAACAGCCTTCTTGTCTAGAAAAAATAATAACTTACTCTGTGATTCCGGACTTTGGCATGATGCTATAGGCAATACTCGTTTTTGACCCGGGGAATCGAGAATTTCTTCGAGAACATCACCATAAAGCATTTGATGGTCGTTGCCCCAAAGTGAGTGGGGTTTGGTTCCGCTGGGTGGACTCATCACCCGGGCGTGGGCCACATCCACATCAAGGTGGGGTCGATATGGAATAAAACGGTCACTGGTGTAAATACCGAGAGAACACAGCTCAGTGGCGGCCATCATGTAGCATTCCTTTTACTAATTCAAAATCACTCATGTGTAACGTTTTGTCCTTTTCGAGCATATTCTAAAAGGAAGCTAAATCGTCAAAGATATGGAAATCAATGATTTATTTATCCACAGAAAAATAATATCGATGGTAGAAAGGGAAGAAGAGTCAAATTATTACAAGTTAATTCATCGGATGTTAGTTAAGAACATTTTATAAAGTTCTTAAATTGTTTCCGATGCGGCTATTCGGAATACTGTATTAGTATCATACTAAGTCTCTGTTCAAATAAAAATCTTAGGTGTTATGCATCGTCGACATTCTGTCAAAAGTACCCAAACTGGTACAGAAACGTGTCTTAAGGGACTGACCATGGGGTATCATGGAATACCATAGTACCAGAGGGGGACAGGCACCCTCAACCCCATTTTCAAACATGACTTTTTGTCGTTGAAATTGTTTATTAGAAGGCTGGTTCCCCCTCCAAACACAATGGCACTTTTTGTTGCGGTTAAGTGGAGTCAGGGTAATCTGGTTGTGTGTTAATGGAATTTAGTTATAAAACTAGGAACCCTAACCCAACCTCACACCTCGAATTTGTCCCATTTCCTTTTTAGATCACCTGAGCGAGGATCAAGTGATATACATGTACTTGGTCATTTTTTAGCTCACCTCAACGAAGTTGGGGGAGCCTTTGTAATACCCTCGGTGTCGGCGTCGGCGTCCCAGGTTAATTTTTTTGGAGCAGTTTTCTTTTTAAGTACTTCTTTGTCCTATATTGATTAGACATGCATGGAAGATGCTTCTAGTATGTTTCATTGTACCAGTCAAAGTTTCAGATGCTGCAATTTCAGCAGAGGAATGACCAGGTTAATGTTTTTGGAGCAGGTTAACATTTTTGGTGCACTTTTTGGTGTAGGTTTCATTTCCAAGTAACTATAAGCCCAATGTTGACCAAACTTGCATGTATGATACATCTAAGGATGCACATTACCAGGCTTGCTTCAGATGCTGAATCTGACCTACATTTTCCGGTTAAATGAACAGGTTGAAGTTTTTGGTGCAGGTCTCATTTCCAAGTAACTGTGAGCACTATAATGACCAAACTTGCATGGATACATCTAAGGATGCATACTACCAGGCTTGCTTCGGATGCTGAATCTGACCAACATTTTCCGGTTGAGTGAACAGGTTAAAGTTTTTGGTGCAGATTTCATTTTCAAGTAACTATTAGCCCTATGTCGACCAAATTTGCATGGATGATACATCTAAGGATGCATACTACCAGGCTTACTTCGGATGCTGAATCTGATCTACATTTTCTGGTTGAGTGAACAGGTTAAAGTTTTTGGTGCAGATTTCATTTCCAAGTAACTATAAGCCCTATGTTGACCAAATTTGCATGGATGATACATCTAAGGATGCATACTACCAGGCTTACTTCGGATGCTGAATCTGACCTACATTTTCTGGTTGTGTGAACAGGTTAGAGTTTTTGGTGCAGGTCTCATTTCCAAGTAACTGTTAGCCCTATGTCGACCAAACTTGCATGGATGATACACCTATGGATGCATACTACCAGGTTTGCTTCGGAAGCTGAATCTGACCTACGTTTTCCGGTTGAGTAAACAGGTTAAAGTTTTTGGTGCAGGTCTCATTTCTAATATACTATGAGCCCTATAATGACTTAACTTGCATGGATGATACGTCTAAGGATGCATACTACCAGGCTTGCTTCAGATGCTGAATCTGACCTACATTTTCTGGTTGAGTGAACAGGTTAAAGTTTTTGGTTGCATGATTCATTTCCAAGTAACTATGATTCCTTTAATGACCAAACTTGCATGGACGATACATCTTAGGATGCACACTAATGGACTTGCTTCGGATGCTGAATTTGACATTTATTTTTCAGATAATGGACCAGGTAAAAGTTATGGGTGCAGGTCTACTACCAAAAAGCTATCAGGCTTATATAACATTGTATAAACCAAACTTGCACAAATGATGCATCAAGGGATGAAAACTCTCAAATTTGCTTCAGATTCTGGATTTTAATTACATTTTCATGAAGAATGACTAGTTTGAATTTTTTATATAGGTCTATTTCAAAGTATCCGATCAAAATTGCATGAATATTTTCATTTTTGGAATGTACACTTTTTGTTGGTTAATTGTGTGACTTTGCCTTCCTTAAAGACAACATTCGTTGAGGTGAGCTCTGTAATCTCTGATTACCTATGTTTGAAAGCCTCCTGACACTGTATACGTAGATTCGAGTTTGTTTCAAATCATGTCCCCGGGGGCAGGGTGGGGCCACTATAAGTGAGGGAAGTTTTCCATGGATCATATATAGGAAAAATCTTCTCAAGAACGGCAAAGCCACAAACACTCATTTTTATAAGGAATCATTGTCAGGTAGTATAAATTAAAGTTTGTTCAAATCATGGTCTCGGGGTAGGCGACAATAGACACTCAAAGTTTTACCTATTATAAGAATACTTAGGAATAATTTTTTGAAAAAAGTCTTTGTCTCAAGAGCAACAAAGCCATGTTCAGTCATATTTATATGGAAACAAGTCAGGTGGTGTAAATTCAGATTTGTTGAACAGGCGCGTAGCATCTTTTTTGAAAGTTGGGGGGGTGAGGTGGGGGGCCAGCCAGAGAATTTTTTTTTTACTTACCTGAAAAAGTTGACAAGCAAAAAAGAACAAAAACAAAACAAACAAAAAAATTCGTGTGTGTGTGTGGGTGGGTGGGGGGGGGGGGGGGGTAGGTAGACTTTTTCTCAGTGTCAACAACTTTCAGTACCAATTCTAACACTACATTTTCACATTTTCGGTACATCACTAAAAGTGGGGGGGTGGGGGCAACCAGGCTTTCTGTTAACATTTCCTATAGTATAAGTAAGGTTTGGAAAAAAAGTGGGGGGGGGGCAGGCCCCCCCTGTTGCTACGCCCCTGTTGAAGTCATAACCCCACGAGTTGGGATGGGGGCCACAATGGGCAATCAACGTTTAATGCTGGAATAAGTAGAGGAAAAGTTTTTTAAGAACAAGTGCACAGTCAAATTTATTTGAAAGCACTATTAGGTAGTGAAGATTAAAATTTGTTCAAATCATAACCCCAGAGGTTAGAGGAACTAATGTTTAGGAAAAATCTTCTCAAGAACAAGGCCATAATTAATTGTATTCACGTGGAAGCATTATCAATTAGTGTAGATTCAGGTTTGTTCAAATAATGATCCCTGAGGATAGGATGTAGCTACAAAAGGCAATCAAAAATTTACATAGGAATATATGGAAGGAAGAATCTGCTGATGAACAACTCAAATGACTATAGCTATTCAGGTGAGTGTTATAGCCCATGGGTCTCTACTTTTTGGGGGGGAGGGGTCTCTAGTTAGATCTCCACTAATACAAAAACAATTTTATGTGCAGTTGTGCAAATTACAGAAAAATACTTATTAACCTTAACCAAGGATTATCAAAACTATCAATAAACCAAGAGGCCCATGGGCCACAATGCTCATCTGAGAACTTCACCAGATGTTCTCCAATTGTAAAACTTTTTTTGACCCATTCTACCCTTAGGAGTAATTTTGAATCTAATTAACTTCAGGACGTTTTCATACAAGTTTAAGCTTTTCTGACCCAGTGGTTCTTGAGAAAAAGATTTTTTAATGACCCACTCTATTTTTGTCTTTTCTTGATTATCTATGTACGTTTGTAAGGGGACTTGGCACTTCATGCTCTTAATTTAAACTTCCCTTCAACCAAGGATACTTTATAACAATTTTAGTTATAATAGGCCATTTGCTATTGACATGCTTTGAATTTGGCAGTCCATATTGTGAATTGTGTATTTTTCTTTTGGAATTGCTTCTGCTTGAATTGATTTTTGGGCAATATACGTGTAGACCTAAGAATGGTTTATTCTAGGTGTTTGCTTTTTATCCATCTGTAAATGCATTCCCTGATTTCCAATAAAGGAATAAAAGATACAAGAAAATGATGTTGTAGATATGTTTATTGATAAAAGTTAACAACACCAGGCAGATCACATTCTCATCAGAAGTTCCTGTAAAACAAACACAGATTTATCATTTTGGGGGGTTTTAATCGTTAAGAATAAAGTTCTATAGAAGGAATAAAAAACATTTTTCAGTACAATATTAAATGATTATCTATTTTTTTTTTTAAAGAACTATCGCAGAAAAAATATATAAGCTGTCATATTTTTTTCTTACTGGGCTATGAGGTGATCTCTCTTTGCCAATCGGATTAGGGAATCATCAGATTCTCCCTGAAAGATACAGGAATATCATTAGTAAAGGAGAAATGTCCAAGCTAAATGTATGATTTCATTTTACTCCACAAATGTAAATAAGAGCACTACAGTGTTAATCATCACATGATTTCATTCTCAAATATTTAATTTACATGGTATTCACAATAAGGTTATTACAGCCATTCACATCGATACTGGCATTATACTCTTGTCATCTATTTCAACAATATTGAAACTGACACACATGGAAGGACTAGCATATGCAGTACACAACTCTTTGCAAAGAGATAACATAAATTTGGTAAACGGATTTTTGCCTGACAAAACAAATAGTTGAAATCTGATGGTGAAACTATCTGTAAATGTTTACATTCAATGTTATATTGAACAATCTGGTATAAATAATGTTAAGAGTGTTTAAATCAACATCATCCCATGTTCTTTTAAACTTACCATTCTTCTAATGTTTCCACAGATGGCGTAAGTTGTGTTAGATCCAGTCATGCGGCCAGTGGTAGGATCCACCTGAAATTTTAATAATCACATATATATCAAAGCATCATAGGGACATTTTAGCACTGTTTGACTCTGATAAGTCCCTCAGGTATACTAGTACAGTCAGGTTTATTATTAAACTACATGCACTTTAACTTACATCAGCAATATTGATCTGAATTGATGCATGGTCCTTTGCTGCTATGATTCTGTTGCTTGCAGAGCTGTAATGTAAGATGATTATTACTTAAGTTTTTACTAGAAAGAAAATAAACACAAATAAAAATAAGCGGATTATAAAAAAGCATAAACTGACCCAAACCAGATTATACTCGATAATATGGCCAAGAATTAAAGTCATTCCTTATAATTTAATTTTAAAATAATTAAACAACTTTTGATGTAAAATTGTGTTGCTTTTTATCAGTTCAAATTTACCGCGCAATAATACAACCGTGGTAACGGAAGTGATTTGAAGCGAGGGGAGGTAATAACTGTTACATAGATCTAGCAGCCATGATGTTTGTTTACATGAGGTAAGAACGAGTAATTGTTTAAAGTTGAAGGTAAATTTATTAAATCTGAAATTTTCCATGGATTCCGAGGACTGGAAATGAGGGGATTGCATGGATACAATGATTAAGCTGGTCGTCAAGGGGGTGTGTCCCCATACCAAACCAGATTATACAAAATGTTTTGCGTTCCTTTTTGGAAATCAACCAATGAGAGGCGAGAATACAAACAAAATTAAATTATAAATATTTAAGACAAAATCATGCCATATCTGAAACATAAACATTGCTTCTGTTTTATCATCTGTTGAGAAAATTGAGATTCAATGAAATCATTCAAATCAAGGTGATAAAGGAGCCAGTCATTAACCCTTATAGTTATAAAGTTAAGGCTAAATAAATCATAAAGAATAGGTGGACTTAACACCCTATTTTGGATCTTTTTGCGACTACTCTAACAAGTTGAAAATAAAGTGAATCCAACATACATGTATATTACAAGCAATAGCAAGAGCAACGTATACTTGGTTATTTTAGCTAGAACATATACAAAAGCAATGCCTTGTTGCCATGAATCAAAACTGAAGCAACGATACATTAGTGTCGCCTTCCGGAATTAAACATGTACTCGGAGTGGTTTTTAGGTCACGCTATCAATATTAATAGGAGGCGGGGCTATCGATAGGTGTCATTGTTGACATTTCTCTCTCTTCATCTCTCTCTCTAGAAATTCGAATACGTGTTTGGCATATTACAGCCATGTCATTATGATTTCTTTTTAAATGTGAGGACACACAAAATTAACTCAACATTTAATGTGCTATATTCTGAAAACGGCAACCACACATAGTGATATACATTGAGGTCAGGTTGAAGAATACAATGTAACTGTTTCCACCCAGGTGGACATCACGTCATGAATTGTAATATTTACATATATGCCAACTTTTGAAAATTTTCTTGGGGGAGATTTCGCGTAACGACATTTTTCAAAGTTCTAGATTCGTGGCATTTTGTCGTGAAACTAATATTTTATCATTTTTTTAAAATACCTATCTTATTCATTGTGGACACATATTTATCTATAATCTTTACCTCTTAAAGTGTTTTCTTCTCTATCAACTTCAAAAAAAACACAATTTGAAATTTTACAAAAATTCATTTTTTAAATCAACAATAATTATTTAAAACAGAGATCAACATAACCCATCCCTGCCCTGAGCAATAAGATATATTTACTTTGAATTATTTTATATTAATTTAGAAGGTCAATCGAAGTCGTAACAATGGAAGCGAGAAGTTTGTTTTGAACATGTTTTTTGTTAAATTAAGTGTGAGCGCATGTTTGTCGGCTCTTCTCCTTTTAGTATGACATTATTTTGTTCAATATACAACTACAGTTTTCGTAAGAACGGCCGACAAACATGCGCTGACTATGTATACACACAATGAAAAATGTGTGACCCTGATTATCTATTGATATTCAAGAAATCTTCAGGCATCATGCCTTCGATATTTATTTAGTTTACCCCGAAAAGAGCATCTTAAATTCACATCCGTACCATAAATACACAGTTAAGATATCGAGGGTTTATATGATGGGAAAAAAATAACATTTTATGGAACTTAAATTTACGGCATTTTTTCTGGCCACTTAAGTCCACCCATTCTTTGTTAAATATTGGGGACATCCAAATAATATGGAGTAAAGAAAATGACCCACCATTTTCTAGGGATGTACATATCCACAAATTCTCCTTGATCGTTCTGCATAGTGACAGCTTACTACAATGTAAAACAAATAAACTTCAACCTTGGAGCATAAACAATAAATGCACATCTAAAACATTTTTATAACCCCCCCCCCCTTTCAACAAGCTTTTTTATTTTGTATTAGACTTATATACAGACAGATATTGACTGAAAATGAATATAAAATAAAGGCATATGAGATGATGTTTGTATGTATAAATACTTTACTGGGCGTAAAATGATTGTATATGGCGAATTTAGGCAATATGTAATTTTATAAATATAAATACACACGACTGCAATGGCTGTGAGAGAAAAGAGGAAGCACATGGATATGTCATTTACCCAGAATTCATAGAATATAGGGGGTGGTATATAAATCCATACTTTCTATGTAGCTATCTAAATTTCATAAAATCATTTAATATGTTATACATGTTAGCAAAACAAATTAAACATTTTTTTTACTATCTAAGATATTCTTTAATTGTCGAAAAGATTAAAAAGGGTATTTTTATAAGTTTGAAGATTAGATTTTTGATATTTTCCCTCAAATTTTATTTTGTTAACACGTTCATGGTTGTGTCTCTTTGGAATAAAATCCTTGTAATTTATCTCCGTTGATTTAAAAAAAATCACAAATAATTTAAGCTTTTATAAAAAAAATCTCTGATTAGAGTAACATTAACTTAACATGTTCTTTCCTTCTTCTTTTGACATAAAGAAATTGTACGATTTATCAAATCTGCAAAGCGTTTCGGCGATGATTTTCATGATCAGTTACACGTTTGTCTGCAGAAGTTGAAGAAGTTTCGATTCCCCCAAAGATGTCGTTAAAGGTTGGTGAAAATCTACCCAACTTCATCATGTACTTGCTTTACAAGAATATTTTAATTTTTTTTCCGAAAACGCGAAATACTTTAAACTGTGCAAATACACATGAAAAAATTAAACAGTTGGAAAGTAACGGAATTCAGCAATGTAGTCTGTTCTGTTTATGACAAGGCACTGAGGCAGTTGAAATTCTTTTTTTTTTTTTTTTTTTTTTTTGTTGCTGTTGTTTGTCAGATGAGGCTTTAGAAGAAAAGAACATTTGGATAGCTTTAGAGAATAACCCCAAATCGACCAAAATGATACTTTCATAATTTACTAACTTTGAGATAAAATTCTTATCAGGTATACATACTGTATATGATTATGATATATACAGTAAGTCTGCATATATTTTGATAAGATGAGTGAAAGGTGCCTGAAGGCAAGAAATCATAATTCTGTCATGTTTAAAAAATCATCAGTCTACAGTCTTAACAGCATTGCAATAATGATAACGGAATGCTTTGGTGATTATAGGGTTGATGTGATATGTTAAGCCAGCAAGGGTTAAGAACTTAAGAAAATGGAAAACAACTTTGAAAAATTAATAAACTCAAAATATAACATTGTCATTGACATTCATATCACCCACACTGCAATCATTATGGCAGATTAACTTGAGATTTTAATTTTTGAGTACCATCAATTGTAGAAATGAGTTTCTTTTCACATAAAATTTAATGCAGTTTTTTGAGTTAGAAGACTTTATCAATTTCTGTCACTAATGTTCATTAGACTGTCCTCCTGGCAGCTGATTAGATTTGAACCGACAACATAACACATGACAACAAAGAAAGTTTCAGATAAGACTGCCGCTGCTAATATTGACACAAACAAAGTGCTCTTTTAACATGTTTAATCTTCAGAAGCACATTTACTTAGTACTCTTTATTGTGCCACCACCTGGCTCCAAGACCATAAAACTGAGAAAAGACTTAAATCAAAATTTCAAACCAATATAACTTGTGAAATAATATTAATAGATGTAATCAGTCAAAATATTCATCATAGAATTAAATTTTTTAAAAATTTGCACTTTTTAAGCAAACAGCTCAAGATACCGTATAAGTAGAAATTTTAGCGAGGATTTAATTTTGGCATTATTAGCGAGGCCGTTGAAATTGCTAAAATTGAATATCGCTAAAAATAAATTGTGTTATTTGTACTAGCTTCTTTAGTGAACATTTTTGAAATAGTTAAAATTACTTCTCGCTAAAAATAAAGTACCAGTTTTTAAGGAGAAATCGCTAAATTTGTGTCTCGCTAAAATTTCCACTTATACGGTCATAAAAATCAATATTTTGACTTATTTTTGTTATCAGTTTATTGTCTTGGGGCCTGTTTTACTTGCCTTTTGAAATCTGAATACATGTTTTCTTAAACCTTATGATTTGTGTTTAAAAATGTATTGAAAAAAATGAATTGTGAAAAAAGTATTGCAATAATTCTGAATATGTATCTTATTGTGGAGACAGCATATTGTTTCAGCCCTACATGCCATACCTACCTATAAGTTGAATAGTGTAAAAGTTCAAAAAGATCTAATAAATGATTAAATCCCCCCCCCATCCACCCCCACCTCCAAAAGAGAGAGAGGGAGAGAAAGAGAGAGAGAAACCAATATCTTAATCTTAAACTATAAATTATCTTTTTATTGTGCCTTAAACTAAGTAGTAAACACATTTGAAGCAATGTATTATATTCTTTCTTTCTTTCTTTTTTTCTTTTTACATATTATCGTTGGCAGCTAACTGTAAAGTTTCACGTTATGTCAGGATCTAGTTGACAGCTGCACTCAAGGTAAATTGTACACGGCTCCTAACTGCAAGCTTTACGACTGGAACTTTCTTCTTATCCTTGATTGGTTGCTCGTGCAACAGACTATTTCCGTGTCAATGTTGATAATTTGAGTTGACCAATCACGTGAATTGTTTACGCTGGATGCATCTGACGAAAAAAATCGTGAAGTAACATGAAACTTTACAGTTAGGCTCAGTTAGCTGCAAACGATAATAACATTGATAATAAATCATACAGAGAAGTATCAATTTCAGATTTTCTGTTGTAAAGATTGCATTTTCATCAAAAAAAATAGTTTTTGTATTTAATTTTTTAACAAAATATATTGATCTGGGGTTTAACTTCTCTTTGGTTATTTTGGTTAAGAAGTATTTACAATTCACCAGACCAAATGTCAAGTAGATTATACAGAATTTGCCAATTTCATATCCTCTGTAGAAATCAATACCTCCCATATATTGTACTTTATATATGTCATTAACATATAATTTTTTTTTAGAAGGAAACTCCATCAGACCAGCAACTTCATTTGGCTGCTTTACAAGGAAACTTAGAACAACTAAAACGTGTACTAGACACCGGAAAAGTACATGTAGACTGCAAAGACAAGGTAGTTATATCATTTTATGGAGCCAGCTACTCTTTTATATATTGTTTCTGGTAAAATTCATAAAGTTAGGACATCACTCTTGGTTTGTTGGGAGTCCAGAAGATATGTTACTGCAATTTGGAATTTCTGATATTCCATGATACTGAGTTAGTATACAAATACTCTTTCCACTCTTTTTGAATGATATGAAGTTTATTTGCCTTTTATTTCTATCAATGATAATTATAAAATATTCAACTTCACAGCAGCAGCCATGGCTGGTTTGACTATTTTGAATATTTATACATATGCTTACATTCTTATTTAGAAATTCAAGTTGTGGTATTTATATCAGACAAGGAAAATAATTATTTGGCATATGAATTTACTATCTTAAAGCACAAGGTATACTTTTATAATTGTGGATTAGTGTTTTTTTCAAAAATGTGTTAAATTTTTTTTTCAACAGGAAGGGACATCTCCATTAATTTTGGCTGCTGCAAACAATCATCTAGACTGTGTAAAAGAACTTCTGAAACAAGGGGCTGACCCTTCAGCTCGCAGACTTGTGAGTACATGCATACCAAGATAGATTCCAGACAAAGAAACAGAATGTCAGATGTAAAATGAGGAAATTTAATTAATAAATAATTTAAATTTATGCATATCTAGCAAATTAAGCAGACTTCTTCATGTATTCATATAAAACATATTTTTCCTGTAATGTAAATTCATAGACTTGCTAAGAACTGTCTTGTTGGGTATTTAACACAAACACAAATTGAAATATGCTATTATTTGAACACTTTACGATTTCCAAATCTTGTAAGACATACACAACCTACATTATATGAATATATAAAGTAATAATTTTGTTACAGACGGGAACCTGTGCATTGTTCTTTGCTGCTCAAGGAGGATTTCTAGACATTGTACGTGTGTTGTTAGACAGCGGAGCCTCCCTAGATCTAGCCAGCTATGTAAGTTATTGTATTACATGTATACTGTGCAGTATTTGTTTGATGTAAACATGATTCTTGGGTTTAAAGGTTCACCTAGTATTACATTTGCAAGCATCACAACTCACTCAGTTAGAAATTGAATTTTTGAATTTAATCATTTGGTGTGAGGAACATTTTTGAATTTTGCACAGCTACAATTTTGATCAAAAGAGTGTGTTGTGTTGATTCAGTGTGTGTTATTTACAGGATGGAGGGACACCTTTGTTTGTAGCCTGTCAGTGTAATCACTTAGATGTTGTGGAGGAACTACTCAGTAGAGGGGCGGATCTCCATGCTCAAATGATTGATGGGGCCACACCTCTCTTTATCACTGCACAAAATGGCCATTTACACCTGTTAAAATACCTGATAACTCGAGGGGCTGATGTCAATGTTAAACGACAGGTATCAAACCTATAGATAATAATCATATTCTATTGTTTTTGAAAAATCATGGCTTTCTGATTTTAAAAAATCACTCATGTGTACAGGGTACACTTAAGCGCTAGTTAAAGTAAACGGCAAAAAATATTTATTAATCATTAATTTTTTTTAAAAATTGAATTACAATTAAGCTTGAAAAGGAATTAATTAAGACTATAAATTTTATTACAATGCACCAGAGAAATTGAACATGAAATTTAATTATATTTGTATGGAATTCAATAATTTCTCTATTTCTTGTTTGGGTCGTTCAATTTAAAAATATTGCTATGACATTTGATAATGTATGATAATCTGTTTTGTAGGATCAGGCTACACCCTTGTGGATAGCTTCACAAATGGGACACACCTCCATTGTTAAAGAGCTCTTATCCTCTGGTGCTGAAGTAGATGCTGTCAGAGAGGTATATAGAGAGCTGTTTCAAAAAAAAACTTCTTTCATTTTTTCTGTGAACTTCTAAAGCAAAACCTCTTACAGGACAAGTAATAAAAGAGATGAATTATGAGATGGAGGACTTTCTTTACATAAATGATGTTTTCTTTATAGGATGGTGCAACCCCCCTTTTCAAGGCATGCCATAAGGGCCATTTAGATGTTGCTGAGCAACTCCTTAAACACAAACCAAACTTGGGTTTACTAAAGGTATGGAAGGTTTTCAGTAAGAATGAGTTGTCACATCATGAGGATATTTAAAGGTCCTCTAATGATATATTAAAGTAAATTAAAATTTGAATATTTTAAAAGTTGACATGAGTTTCATATAGGCTGTTTTTCCTGAAGAGAAACAAGATCACTAAAGAGAAACAAAATTAAAGAATTTGCTACACATGTAAATGCCAATTACTGCAAGTTTGTTGTTTTCTATCCTTGCCTGTATTTTATATTTGATTTCAGAATGGAGAGACACCACTTCATGCTGCAGCCCTGTTTGGGCACATGAAAGTGATGAAATTGCTCATGTCTTATGGTGTGGATACAAGGCTCAAAAACAAGGTATGATAAAGTATGCATGTACTTTGGCATTTATACTTCTTTAAACACAATCATGATATCAGTTGCATTTACTTCTTGAAGCAGCCTCCATGAATAATTACCTGAAGGATTATCTGATCATTGTAAGGACATGATTCCTCTGATTACAGGAAGGTAAAACTGCTGCAGAACTTGCCCAAGAAGCAGGATATGACTACATTGCCAAATTTATCAACAGTTTCCAAACCAGTCAGGACAGGAAAAGCCCCACCACCCCACCGCCATCTTGATGTGCCAAGCGATAATCTACAAACCCCACCTAGCAAAGCAAGCTTTCTGTTTGTCTGTGATGATTATAAAGGTCCCATGTCTACCATCAGGTGTTTCATAATTACGCAAATTTATGTTGGAATCGAAAATTCTTACGAACTTTTTTTCAATGTTTTTTTTGTTAACAATTTTCAAAGAAATGTTTACGCAGCTTCATTCTTTTTTTTTTTTTGTTTATCAGAATATCAGCATTGTAATTTTTAAAGGTCTATTAATTTTTGTATATGAAACTTTATATTTGCAGTTGTTTTTCTTTTTGACTGATTTTGATATTAGTTACTTTTGTTCTTGTAACATAAGCATATCTTTTATAGATGGTAGCTAGAGCAAATTTGAAAAACTAACCAAGAGATGTGAAGGTTATTTACAGACATTGTCAACACTTGTTATCACATGAAATAATCTTGCCCTTATTTTCTTTAAGGTAGATAGGTCAGTATCATTTCGTAGAATAAAATAATATGGTGCAGGCCACCATATCTAGTTTCCGCTGTGATTTAAGTGTCGTTAAATTGTGTTTGTAGGTGTTGATTGGGTTAATATATGTAAAGTGACTGGCTGTTTTCATGAATTTTTGCTAGTGAGTTTTTGTGTTTTGACCTTCATTCAAAAAAGTAGCAAAATACTTAAAGTAATAATAGGAATGAAGTCACAGAATTCTTGAATATTTTCAAAAAGAATCCTGCTTATGTTTGCAATTTAATTTTGACACAATTTTGCAAAAAATATTTAATGTTTTTCAAAATACTCCTAAATCTCCATGATAATCGTATTTATTTGTACAGTTTATTTTAGTATTAGTCTGAAAAATATAGTGCAATTCATTTTTCGTGTGCTAGTCATAGTTGGGAGGAAAACTGATATATATTTTTTGTCTTTTTTTTTTGATAAAGATTAAGTTTTAAATTGTAGAGGTTGTTATTATTGAACAGTTTTGCCTCTTTTGAGTTACCTCATACCTGAGTCGTATTCTAACTTCTGAGATTGTAGAGACTAAGAAATGAGGGATTTAAATTTTATGTACGAGTTGTCAAAATGATCTAAGTTGGTGCATAATAAAGGGTGATATTCCATTGTTGTGACAGGTTTCTGTGTATATCACCCAGATGTCTTTCCATTATATTACGGCTGCCTTGAATGTTGTATTGGTGCTTCCGTGTTGTGTTGTTGACTTGTCGGCATGTAGATATTTGTTTCAGGCAATTTCATTGTAAAGGTAGTGAATATGTTTCACAGAAAGTAGACTTAAAAGACAATCAAATTATTGTTTAATCGGAAAGGAGAAAAAAGTTTATACATGTTTTTAAAGGATGTTGTGTAGAATAAATTTCTGCACATCTTTTGGAATAAAATGAAATGAATATCTTTTTATGAAACATTAAGGGCAAGCTTAAATCATTAAGGTATGGAAAATTCATAAGCAAACCAAAGTGGAAAATCAAGATAGAGAAATGTGATTTAGGAGGACGATTGTTTATACAGGTTGTGAATTGACTCATATCAGAATTGTTTGAATACTCTTAACCCTCTCTGATAATACCATTATATTTGCTGAACTTTTTTTGTCATAACATATGCAGTGAATACACCAGTGAATTTTTGGCATTATTTTGGCTTTAGTAGTAATGGTGAGTTTCAGAGACAAAATATTGGGTTTTTTCTGTAAATACGAATTTTCACATTATTGAGATGAGGAGGTTAGAAATTTGTTCAGTTGTTTCAAGTAATTTGTTATAGATTTAATTGATGATGATTAATAATGAAGAATATTAAACTGATTGATTTTCTCAGATACAGATGTATTATATGAATCTATAACAACTGGTAATATAAATGAGACTGGTGTGACTATAGTTATATCATTACTGTTGAAAAAGAAATGCATGTATTTTCTCTAGTATTTATTGTATTTTATTTGTAGTGGTATGATATATGATTGTGATTTATAATACAATTATTGAATGACTAGTGTCACAACAGTATTCACTCATACAGGTTAATGTTATAATATATTCCCCTCATATACATGTATTTGCAAGATTATTTTACTTGTGCAGTACAGTTTTAAGATACATGTACATGTAATAGGTGTGCAATATAGTTCCAGCATTTGAAAATAGTAGTGAATGTATACTCTTTCTATAATCAGCATAATTTGTAAGTAAGAGTACATGAATATCTTTTGGTTCAACTGTCTAGGTATAATTTGATTAAGTATCACTGTTATAATATGAATGTGATCATTTTGACTATGGAACGAACAGATAGTGGTTTATATTAAGGTCACTGTAGGAGGTGTTTACCAATTACCTTAATTTACTTTTTTTAACTTCACATACTTATAGGTAAATTGTAATGTGATGTAATGTGACATCTTGGCCTTTGACCTTGGTATTTGTTGGAGATAAACATTCATTACTTTTTGGGGTCTTGACGGCCTGGAAAATTGAAAGGTGTAAACGCTCTCTGAGTTAGCCTTGTTAAATGATTTATTTAGCTCAATTTAGTGTGGTGCATTCTGATTAACACCTCTCATCTTCTCGTAAGAATAAATCTTATTCTAGAGAAGTCTCAATGTTGGCTTTGGCCCCTGACCTTGAATTAATTAAGATAATCTATGGTATGCTTTAATCTAGATTTTTTGTTTAGCATGATTTCATTTCATTAACTTATGAATACTTCACAATCTGGCTATTTTTGTCTTTTGTGGATTTTTTTTATTTAACAAAAGAATATATTAAATTTTCTGGGGGGAAAATAATGTCAAAGTATAGATAACACACAGTGTTCTTCAACACAATTTCTTTTTCATAGTGGAGAAGAATGCATTGCTGTGTCTATACAGTCAATAATGTATATACACGTTCAAAAATTTGCATTGGTTTATTTTGCTATAATGTAAAATAACCTCAAGTGCATTGACACAATGATTAAAGATGACCAACCTCAGCAAGTGAAAAAAGTATGTGTATTTGTACATGCATATTATTTGACTTTTATATATCTGTGATGTACTATTATAGAACTAGGGTTACTTCCCGTTTTTGAACCGATATTAGATGTATATAAGCTAGTGTTGTGAGAAAATCAAAACAGACTTTTTACTTACTACTTAACATGTTTTTGTTAGTATTCCTTCTTACAATAATTATGCAGCAAATAAACCTCATTTATTGGCAAAGGCTTAAAACTTCTTTTAATTTTTTTTTGTTTGTTCCCATAAACAAAAAGAGTCAAAGGTAATCAACATGTCTGTTGCGGGGAGGAAGTTTAGAGCATAAAATTTATGTCACACAAGACACTCGGATGGACAATTGCTTTCTATTTTTGCCAGATGTTTATACTGCCAATATAGGTGGCAAAATAATTAGGCCCAATACGCTTCATGCATATATCTACTGAAAGAGGGCATGTATAGTTGAGAGAGATCAAGTTTTTGAAATCGAACATTTGTGCAATTGAGGTAAGAATATGAGGAAATGAATCTGAAACGCTGTGCAATAAAATGACAGCTTTTTCTATGGATGGCACTTTAGCTTTCTGGTTCTCCTTCCCTTTTTTTTTTATAGAGCAGCGAGCTACAGTTCTGCAACTCAGGGGATACGCGAATGGCACATATCAGAGAAGAAACAATGAAAAAATGACTGAATAATTTAATTAATTTCAATAAAAATATAGAGGGAAATTTTTTGAAAGTGTAAAAATCAATGTCCAATTTACGATTTCTTCAGCGCTTTCCTTGTCCTAAATACGTCATGTTTGGACGTGTGACTAAAATGTATTGAGCCTGACCAAGCAAAAATTCATTCCACGTGACAGTTCTGCAAAGAGAAAAAAAGACGTGACAAACAATTAACATATAGATTATGTACAAATATAAAAGAATTATGATGGAATATCGATGTTATACTGACCCCAGTTCCTTAACATCGAGCGACATGGCTCGAGCTAAAGCATGCTTTGCGTAGGTTTCGCCAATACTATATCGTCTCCTTGAAGATACAAAGAAAACGATAAGCAGTTTGACCTTTATTTTACAACTAAGTTAATCAAGTTAGAAAAACTTTTCTTTAAACAAAAAATCAGTCTTGGTTGTATTCTTTTAAATGTAGTAAATCGAAAGGGGAAAGATTTTCTAAGTAAATCCTCTTTTTAGAAATGTAACTTTACAGAAAATCTTCCAGGGGAAGCTTCACAAGTACATCGTATGGTCCTCAGCTATTCTATGGAACCATACTCAGTATTTTTTTTCATGATTTTATTTTGAGTTAATAATGCATGTGAAGTGTCGAAACTTGAAATATCTGTAATAATTTATGAATACTTGCTCTTCAGGTAGGTTGAAACGACCGATATACTCATCGAGCACTTTCCTGGCTTCTAACTCCGATATCCTGCCATCGTCATTTGTGTCTAAGTGGGAGAAGGCCATCTTTGCTATCAGAATTTCCTTTTCTGTCAGCAAGTCCACTAACTCATTCTGCAATGCATCAACATCATCTTACACAGTGCTAATATGTCTTCAAGGTTTTGATTACTATTAAAATTAATTCCCCATTTACAAGTTGATACATTTCACAAAATGCCAAGGCCAAGATTGGATGCAAAACGCCTATGTGTAATATGTAAAACATTATTTTTTTCATTTTTTTTTTTTAAACAAGCAAGTGAAGTTTTACCACTTTGATAAGTAATTGGCTTAATTTACTTTCTTTTAGTATTACCTGATTTCTTGAGGAGAGTTTGACTTTAGCCTGGAAATTTAAAAACTCCCACCAATCAATAGTTCCGCTGCCGTCCGTATCAACCAATTTGAATTCGAGATCAAAGAGTTTTCGTTCTTCTTCTGTGACCTGGTGCCCAAGTTGTTTTCTCTTGTATGCGATGAATTCATCAAAAGTAATTTGACCTCCTACCATTAAAAGAAAACGGAGATATTATCTTAAAATAGTACAAAATAACACTTTGTCAAATTCCTATACTGTATCCACAAATGACA